GATGTTTGTCCTTCTCCCCCTGGAAGGATTGTTTGAGTCTCACACTGAGCAGGGGATAAACCTCCACAAGTTCCGTTCAAGTCCTCCTGGATTCCTAAGTGACAGTCCGCTCAATAGCTCCTCTGGGTCTAACCAAGTCTATACCTGTCCGCCCTCCAACGAGTCTCAACCTCTGGAAAAACCCACAACAACTGGATTCTGGGAGGAAAGTATTCTCCATTAATGTGAGACCCGTTTTCTCTGTCTCTCCAAGTCATCGTTCAAAGTTCCCACGGATCCTGAACTAACCACTGATACTTCCCTTCCCTCCAGTTCCGGTCCTCCAGTTCACCGTGTTTCCTGAATCTAACCCTGCTGGTTTCATCAATACACCTGATCAAACTTTTACTTTTACCCTCTGAGTGCTTTACTGCATGTAGGTCAGATCTCTCAAGAAAATCATGACACATACCAGGGGTGTTCCAGCACCACTTTTTCGTTTCCACTGGACTTTGTTTCCAAGTTTGAAGGCGTTTCAATTCAAAATGTCAGGAATAGCGTTGAGTTCGAGGTTTTATGCAGTAGCCCATTAAATCCTTGTTTTTGTTTTGAAAACATGCAAATTGAAGGTCCACCCCTTTGGAATGGGGGTCATTGGGTTCTTTTCTGCAATGTTCCGTACCCATTTAAGTGTCTGAAAAGGGGGTCATTAGAGGGAATTATTGGCCTGACTGAATAGTTGAGGTCCTCTGCCCTCCTGTACAGGGGGCTGGGGCTGTAATGATATTGCGAACGAATTAACTCCATTGCTGCATTGTAGGTTTTTGAAAGCTGAAACCTGAGTCCACCCCCTCTGTCTAAGGTTGGTTTTTCTTTCTTAACACTGATGGCTTCCTTCACGCCCGTCTCAAACCACCTTTTTTCTTCCAGCTTTTATTTATTTCATTCTGTTGAATGTCAGGGAAAGGATTGATAAAGTAATATACAGTAATTGAAAAAAAAAACTGGTCGATGTAAAATTAACCAATGATTTATGGAAGCTTTTAACAGAAGCAGACTGTTTAAAATATCAGAGAATTTAGATCCCAACAGATAAAATCCGATATTAATATAGGACAGGGACATCCCTACAACATAGGCTAACAGTGTTTCTGAAGTCAGGTGTTGCCTATGTGGACCAGGGCCTTTAAGCAGCCATCCTCATCCTCACCTCAGCTGAAACTTTGGTTGCCTAGCAACCGTGACAGCAGTAGGCAAAGAATTGTGAAGCCAATTGGGCCCGAATCGTTATTATTTCATAAGTCATAGGGAAGCGGCTGTTGCTTTTCTGAATTCTCCTGAGCGGTGCCCGACTTTACACGAGTGAATAAAGTGAATTTGATTGGTCATTTATCAAGGGGGTGGGATTGTTGTGGCGAAGGTTTCGCAAGCACCTGTGATTGTAGCCGGTTTGTCAGAGGCATCTTGCTAACCAGTTAGCAACTTAGTGCTAGTAGGTTCCCAATGGGAAATTCCATTGGGACCAAGTAGCACTAAATTGGTGA